AGGAAAGAAGAAAGGAAAAGCTGATGGGACGAAAAATGTGGGAGGTTGCATGTACTTCTTAATGGTAAGTGTGGGTATGATTCATTTACTTTGATGTTAGTTTATTGTCAATGTGCTGTGTAGGTTGTGATTGGTTGCTCTGTATGTTATTATTTACTACTCTGTTGTCAATTGGAGAAATGTACGCTGTCAATTGCTTATGTATAGGTTGTGATTTGCTGGTGTCAAGGTTGTTATTGTACTGTGTGCAGGTTGTTAATGGACTGTGTTGGTTTGTCACCTGGTTATGTATAGGTTGTAATTGTCTTCTGTTCGTGTTGTCATTCGGTTTATCGTGGGTTGTCATTGGTTGCTGTGCATATTGTGAATGACATTAATGTAGGTTGTGATTAGCTGATGTGTAGGTTGTGACTGTATGATGTGCATGTTGTCATTTGGTTTAGCATGGGTTGTTAGTGGCTGCTACTCAGGTCAATGGCCTGTGTTGGTTTGTCACCTGGTTATGTATAGGTTGTAATTGTAGTCTGTTTGTGTTGTCATTCGGGTGAGTATAGGTTGTCACTGGATGCTGTACATGTTGTGAATGGCGCAAATGTATGTTGTGACAGGCTTATGTGTAGGTTGTGATTGGACAGTGTGTATGTTGTTATTTACTACTCTATGTCGTCCAGTTGGGGAAATGTACGCTGTGAACTGGTTATGTATATGTTGTGAGTGGATGGTGTGAAGGTTGTTATTGACCTGTGCGCAGGTTGTCATTGGGCTGTGTTGGTTTATCACCTGGTTATGTATAGGTTGTAATTGCAGTCTGTTCGTGTTGTCATTCTGGTGAGTATGGGTTGTCACTGGCTGCTGTACATGTTGTGAATAGCGCAAATGTAGGTTGTGATATGCTTATATGTAGGTGGTGATTGGTCACTGTGTATGTTGTTATTTACTACTCTATGTCGTCAGTTGGAGAAATGTACGCTGTGAACTGGTTATGGATATGTTGTGACTGGCTGGTGTGGAGGTTGTTATTGTCCTGTGTGTAGGTTGTCATTAGGATGTGTTGGTTTGTCACCTGGTTATGTATAGGTTGTAATTGCAGTCTGTTCGTGTTGTCATTCTGGTGAGTATAGGTTGTCACTGGATGCTGTACATGTTGTGAATGGCGCAAATGTATGTTGTGACAGACTTATGTGTAGGTTGTGATTGGACAGTGTGTATGTTGTTATTTACTACTCTATGTCGTCAGTTGGGGAAATGTATGCTGTGAACTGGTTATGTATATGTTGTGAGTGGATGGTGTGGAGGTTGTTATTGTCCTGTGTGCAGGTTGTCATTTGGCTGTGTTGGTTTGTCACCTGGTTATGTATAGGTTGTAATTGCAGTCTGTTTGTGTTGTCATTCTGGTGAGTATGGGTTGTCACTGGATGCTGTACATGTTGTGAATGGCGCAAATGTATGTTGTGGCAGGATTATGTGTAGGTTGTGATTGGATAGTGTGTATGTTGTTATTTACTACTCTATGTCGTCAGTTGGGGAAATGTACGCTGTGAACTGGTTATGTATATGTTGTGAGTGGATGGTGTGGAGGTTGTTATTGTCCTGTGTGCAGGTTGTCATTGGGCTGTGTTGGTTTGTCACCTGGTTATGTATAGGTTGTAATTTCAGTCTGTTCGTGTTGTCATTCTGGTGAGTATGGGTTGTCACTGGCTGCTGTACATGTTGTGAATAGCGCAAATGTAGGTTGTGATACGCTTATGTGTAGGTGGTGATTGGTCACTGTGTATGTTGTTATTTACTACTCTATGTCGTCAGTTGGAGAAATGTACGCTGTGAATTGGTTATGGATATGTTGTGACTGGCTGGCGTGGAGGTTGTTATTGCCCTGTGTGCAGGTTGTCATTGGGCTGTGTTGGTTTGTCACCTGGTTATGTATAGGTTGTAATTGCAGTTTGTTCGTGTTGTCATTCGGTTGACTATGGGTTGTCACTGGCTGCTGTACATGTTGTGAATGTGAATAGCGTAAATGTAGGTTGTGATACGCTTATGTGTAGGTGGTGATTGGGCAGTGTGTAGGTTGTGATTTTTCGCTGTTTATGTTGTCAGTGGCCTGTTTGGGTGTTGTTGTTGTTGTATATCTAAGTTATCATTAACTTCACATGCAGATTTATTGCCTACAACACTTTCCTCTCGGAAAAGAAAAGGCGGCAAAAAATGAAAATGCCATTACTTATTGGGATGAGGAAAAAGTGAAGGCAAGAGTGAAATCAGAAAAGAATAGCGACAGATGCATACTGCATGGCGTTCCGAGTGTCGGTGGGGCTTCAACAAGTGCATCCAACACAGGAATAAAGCTAACCCACCCTGTAAGTAAATCATGTGAAGCTTATTTTGGTGCTATGTAGAATTTGGAGTAATGATAACTTTCATTACTGTTGTTTTGCAGGAAATCAAGAGAACGTATGAAAAGTTGATGACCATGGTTGAAGGGTTGGTGTCGACAATTGGAGAAGAGTTGGTTTCCTTGCAGTTGAGGTTGACGGATGAGATTGACAAGGAAGATGTGGTGGAAGCAGTAAGTAGCGAAGATGACAAAGAGAAGGCAACTGAAGATGAAGAAACCGGTGAAGAAGGTAAAGGAACCCCAAAAGATTCAATTCTGTCACAAGAGGAACAACAGAGTGAACCAGAAGGAGATGATAAAGAAGAGGGCAAAAGTGCTTCGCGTGAAGAAGAGAGTCAATCTCAACCTGAGGAGAAAGGAGAAGGGAGTTACTCTGGATCAGAGGATGATGGAGAAGAAAAAACACAAGACAAGTCTAGTGATGCAGCAGCAGAAGAGGATAAGGGTGTAGGCGATGAAATGGAGGGAAAGGATGAAATGGACCAGCAAGCACAAGGGCAAATGGATGTAAGAAGATCAACACGGGTGAGAAGCCGTGCAATCAAATCTCCCTGGTTAGAGGAGGTGAAAAAAGGCCGTGGCAAGAGAAAAGCTGACGAGAAAGAGGAATTATTCCAGATGTGCACGAGAAGATGTGATCAAGATGAAGGTGCCAAGTAAGTGTTGGGACTGATTGTAATTGGGACAACTGACTGACAACAATTTTACACATACAACCCTTGTGCTCATTGTTCCTTTTGCTGCAGGTACATTGTAGAGATGTATAGGTACTTCTTGACACGTGCTAAGCTTTGCTGCCTACAAGGAAATGGATGAACGACAGGGTAAGACAGTTGTTTATATAGATAGAGAACTGCGAATGTCATTATGATCATGACTAACTGTTTGTATGTGTGATATAGTTCATGTCTATGGTGGCGAGAACCTTGGTGGGAGATGAAAAAGAGAACCACGGTCGTGTCAGTAGGCACATTTTTTCATCTGAGTTAATGCAAACAATGGCCGCTAATCCTCTTAGGTGGAGCCTGGAAAAACATGAACATGAAATCTTACCGGAGCACATAGGATATAACATTGGAGACTGTGACTTCATATTTGGCCCCACCCTTTTCAATTACCATTGGTTCTGTTACCTGATGGATGTAAGAACCATGCGTTTCTATGCCCTTGACTTGTTAGTGGACAATTTGACGATGTTGAGATTACAAAGAGAGGAAGAAGAAGCAATGAAAACAGGGAAGAAACCACAAAGGAAGCAAGGGAAAAAGAGAGGACAGATAGATCCTAAGCAATTCATGGCGAGAGGGATTGTATGCACAACTTTACATTCATTCTATAACTTGTTAATGCGTTATGGTTGCTTGTCTGCTTAACTGTCCTGGTTGTTAATGCCTGCTGATTACTTGTCATTGGCTACAGCGAAGGTTGTTAATGCTTCCTGATAACTTGTCATTCACAACTGTCAAACTTGTTTCTTTTGTTTGTCCCTTTTTTGTAAAGAGATTGTTTCTGCCAAGTGCTTCGTGTGCTGAAGCCATCACTATTTGCGGAGGAGGACAAGATTGACGAGGAAGTCACATGGGCAAAAGTTCATGTGCAATCTGACACGTGAGTTATTTTTCAGCACAACAAGTACTTGTGTCTCAACTCTTGGAAGCTAATGTTCATTCACTAAAGTACTTGTTTTTCCTTTGTAGGGACTCTTGTGGGGTTCATGTGTTGAGCTGGTTACAAACATGGGACGGCACTGAGTATGGTGACGACGGCTACACAATGCCTAAGTACTCCCCTGAAGAAATCCATGACTTGAAGGTTGGATGCTTGTGGTGGCTCGTGACTCATCGGAACAACCTGCATGGCGATGAAGTGCTGTCTTTGCTGCGAGGAAACCCCCAAAGCAAGAGGAAGAAATAAATGACAAGCATCTATTGTATTTACATTTATTTATTTGACAGCATAGTGACATCTGAACGTCAAGTTCACATTTTATTCTTTTCTTTGAGCATGTATGAATCCTGGATGTTAAGATATGTTAATGTGTTTTGATATCCTTTACTGGTTATCAAGTTTTTGTAAAGGCATTCATGTGTTTTCATCATGGCCACAAATGCAGACTGAATAAGACTGGATAAATAAATGGTAACCATAGTGACATGATAGGCATATATCAGAGTCCTCTCTGCCACATCTGTTTACAACCTCAACAGGGGTTGTTCACAACCGTAACAAAAATGATTAACAACATTGGCAGTGCGCCTGACAACTCACTCGGGGTATAACACAGCTGTTAACTTAATTATATTATGAGCACATATAACGACCTTAATAGCAAAAATTGGGAGCATTTTAAAGTCATTAACAGCTTTAAAAGAACCAAATCATATTACAGCAGATTTTTATTGCAGCAATTCATTTACAACCTCAACAGGGATTGTTGACAACCCGAACAGAATTGGTTAACAACCTTCACATTGCCCCTGACAACTGACGCTGGGGATACCACAACCTCCACATGAGATCTAATTCTAACCAAATCATATCATATTATGACTTTAACACAGCTCGAATGTCTTAAGAAATCACTGAACACTGGAAGTAGGAGAAATTGTCACTTTATATCAGTAACATAATTGAGACTGCTAATGACAACCTGCATGGCGTCTGATAACAAGTCCATTACAACCTATTCACCAGTACATCAAAAATACAGAAATGATGTTATATCAGATTACAACCAGGTGTCATTTACCACTTGATATATATATGTACAACATAACTACACCAAATTTACAACCTATTCAAAAAAGCATACGTGTTGCATGTGTGGATAATGACGGACAACTTGAGGTGTAGGTTATGACATTTACAAAAAAAATGCTGTCACAAGCATTCACAAAACGAAATATCAACAAGCCACCAGCAAAGCTCAACTTGGATTGGGGTTTCTGGCAAGTCTTCACAGTGTGGCCTGGCTCATGGCATCTTCCACAGTGGTAAAGTTTTTTACTTTGAAATTGAGATTCAATCCTTCTTTTCTTTGGCCTCCCTGAGGGTCTTTTAGTGATTGGTGGCTGTAAAAATGTTCCCGTCATCATCTGCGTAACGGTGAGAGCTTCGGGACGAGGACAATCATGTGTCGCAATTGGCCTCATACTACTTGCATATATCTTCTCTTGGGCTGACAGCTTATAGCAATCATCTACAAATTCATAAACACTACCATGAAGTAGCTTTATCGCTGCACAGGCATGAGCACAAGGTACTCCGCTCATTTGCCATGCTAAACAAGTGCATTTCTGAGCTGTGAGATCAACAGTGACACAAATTATTCCAGTAGGAGATGTAGTATCAACTTGAACTCGGTTATCTCCATAATATACAGTATGCATATTCTCCGCTCTTGCTACTTTTTCTTGCAACTTGGACTCAATATTTGGCCCAACGCCATTTGTCCAATTTTCCATTGCCATTTTGCTTGCAACCATCTTCTTGGCTAATTTCTCCATATGCTCATGTATGAGAACTGACACATTGTGCTTCCTCTCCTTCAAAATCCAGGCATTAAACGACTCCGCAACATTAGTGGTGATGTTATCCCATCGTTTAAACGGGAATTTGCTTAAAGCCCACCGATCTACATCTCCTTGAGTGTCAACCCAATCATAATTGTGGACAGAATGATCTAAGTTTCCCCATTGCAGCAACATATTCATCCTCAATCCTTGCATAGGCGATTCCATCCAGCATTTTCAATGCAACGTCCTTTGAAGTACCTGAAACTCGTCCCCTGCCTCGGTTAATTTTTAAATAATGTGCACTAAAATTTTCTTTCACATGCCTATAACAAAAAGCATGTCTCTCGCCACCAAATATTGTTCGCACAGCACCTATAATGGCATTATTCCGATCTGAAACTATCGTTGTCTCCACTGATCTTGTGATGTCTTTGATGTTCTGGAGAAACCAAGCCCAATCATCATATGTCTCCCCACTAACTATAGCATATGCTAATGGAAATAGTTCATTGTCTGCATCATATGCATTAGCTGAAATCAATGTCCCCCTGTAAGGACCACTTAGATGACAGCCGTCTATATAAAGTATATGTCGACACCCTTCTAAAAATCCATTAATTGAGCATCCATAAGCAATGAACACCCTCTGAAATCTTTACTATCCAACCCTTCCCATCGAGCACTTGTGTTTGGATCAGTTTCAATGAGCCTTTCACAAATCCAGGGAATCGCCATGTATGAATCCTGTGCACGACCATGTATTTCCCTCAATGCTCTTTCTCTACCCCTGTATGCTTGACTATAATTCAGTCGCACCCCATATTCTCTATACAGATCTCTTCTAATTTCATTAGCATTCTTGTCTATATTACACCTCAAAGAATCTATCATGATTGATGATGTTAAGTTTGACCCTCTAGAGTGAGATACAACCAAGCTGTCCTGTGCATAATGCACATGCTCACTTCTTAAGGTTCTAATTATTAACAACTCAGAATCTTGTCTTTGTCCCATTGAGTATGCACCCATATACCACGGGCATCCCTCCGCCATACACTTCACAATGATCTTTTGTTGATTGTTCTTCACAAACTTGTATGAAAACTTCACAGCAATACTGTACCTATACAGTGCTTGCCTAAGAGCCACTGCATTAGGAAAAATCTGTCCTTCTCCGATAACCAAACCCTTCCACTTTGTTGAATTCATTTCCGGAATTGGGGTTGGCATCATTTCTGAACCACATGGCAACAATAGTGGGTCTTCACTAACCACATTAGGTGGAGACATGGACAATGTATCTGAACCTCCGAACAAGTCTTCCATCCTACATAACAGAACAGGTCAAGGGGTCGTTAATGACAACCTTCGATCACTATAATAACAACTTATGCACAACAGTTGACAATAGCTAATATTACTTCGAAATTTAAATAACACAACTTACACATGTTGCTCTTCTATTACAACATCCCTTGTTAGTTGTGAATTTTGATCTCCATTTTCTCCTATATATACATGACCACTGTCGCCATTGAAGTTAATCAAATGTTCTACTCCTTCATCATCTACAAGGTCCACAAATGTACACTCATCAAAGGTTACTGTGAATTTCATAACCATTCCATTACTTTCTTTTCCCACAATTGATGCCACCATTGTTCTAAATTCTCCATATGATGTCCCTTCCTTTATCATTCTTGTTCTCACACCACCTCCAACATACTGCGTTTCACCTTCTACACATTAATAAATTGTCCTCCTATATGGAGGTAGCAAAACAATTGCTTTGCACTGGAAGTTGCCATCCTGATATCAACCTGCCACAATCACTTGTTAATAACAAGTCATACAGTTATGTTAACAACCTTCGATGTACCCATTAACAACACATTTAACCATCGCATTTGAGGGGTTACAATAATAAATATCTGTCATTTTCCACTCATTTCCATCAGCAACACAGCATCATTGCCCGAAAAACAGAGCATCATTCACCGAAAAAAGAGCATTGCTTTCTAACCATAGCCACACATAGTAAAACCACACCTAACATGATTAAAACCACATATGACTAAAATGAGCCTCCCTTGATATTTCTAGAGAGCTTGAATCACATGCTTAATACCAACGTATAAACACCCAATCAACTTTTCAGACCAGCATTAAAGCTGCGACTGGTTGTTAATAACAAGTCATACAGTTATGTTAACAACCTTCGATGTACCCATTAACAACACATTTAACCATCGCATTTGAGGGGTTACAATAATAAATATCTGTTATTTTCCACTCATCTTCATCAGCAACACAGCATCAGTGACCGAAAAACAGAGCCTCATTCACCGAAAAACAGAGCATTGCTTTCTAACCCTAGCCACACATAGTAAAACCACACCTAACATGATTAAAACCACATATGACTAAAATGAGCCTCCCTTAATATTTCTAGTGAGTTGAATCACA